AAGAACTACTATATATTTTCTGATCTGGTAAAGATATGTCGTCCCAACTTCTTATCCTTGCTCCTCAAGTTTCTTTGAATCCTACGTGTGAAATACTCACACGCTAAGTCACAGACTTAGTGAGGCATATATGCATAAATGAAGTAATGAAACATGCAATTACTTACTTTCATAGCATTCAGTTACATACTTTCATATCTTACCTGAATCATCATACCTCACAAAAACAAGAACAAATATGATCATGTATTTAACAAAGAATAACATGTCATCTCATAAAAAGTTAATTATTTTTATATATGTTATTAGCCCATGGTACATCACTGAAAACTAAAGATATGTGAGTGCATTGAGGTTGTGCACAAATTCTGTCATCAAAACTCATATAATTTGCACTGAGTGCCATATAAAATGTCCCGAACGACCGCGTAGAAATATCCTAAAAGACCACATATATGTCTCGAATGACCGCGTAGAACCCTCGACTCTTGGCATGCAAATTATACCATCAGCTCTCATATAACATAACATGGCCTTTACTAGTTATACCATTTATTCTTTTATTTCACATAGTCAAGCAGTCACATAGATTATATCTCATAGCATATATCCACATATTCACATAGTCATATAGATCACTTTCACATAGCTTATGTCTTATATTCATGTAATCACATAGATCTTGTCACATGACTTATATTCTAGTTTTATATATTCTCTTAGTTCAGTTTCATATAGCTTGTCACCTATACATGTATTCACATACATCAGATTCACATAGCTTATCTCTTATTCTCATATATCCACCTAGATCATGGTTACTTATGATAACGTGTCAAACATAGCTCATATATAATGATGCATATAACACATAGACATATAATTATATTCATGGAATCATGCAATGGAAATATTGGAAATAGACTCATCCCAAGTAGCATTTCCATAAAACACCATATACATAATAATATACACTCACCTTAGCCTCATTTAGTCCAACTAACTCTTTATCTCTCTCTTTCTCAGTCTTACTTCGTTGAATTGTCCAAACTTTGTTCTCGTTCGACCAGACAATCATGTAGAAAGGAGGAAGAAAGGATGGAGAAAGAAGAAGAAAACTCTGGAGTTTCTTAACTCTTCTCCACGTGGAGATATAAAACCCCATTAAGAATTTTAAATTCCTTAATTTCCAAAAGAACAATATACCATTCTATATTTCCATCTTTACTAATCAATCATACTCAAATAATTTTCAATTAAATCCCTGAACTTTTCAATGTTTCTAAATTATACACAAAGTTTTCAAAATCTTACAATTTAGTCACTAATATGGTTTTTATGATGTTACATCAGTATCCACACCTTTTCTACCCAGGTAAATTTTGAGAACAAAATTTCTTATTAGGAGGGGAGATTTGTAACGCCCCAAATCCTTGGTTAGGAGTTATAAGTTAACCTAAAATGGTTTAGACAAGCCCAACTGCCTTGTAGGAGAGCTTATTCCATTCAAAGTTTGGATTGGGCTTGTTTGGACCCAATTGATGTCAAAAGGTTTTTAACCTTAAAATGAAAGTTAAAGAACTAAAAGAGTAATTGGACCATGTTTTTAAGACAAAAGAAAAAATCCCATAATTATTAGATAATCTCATACATGTTCATCTCTTTTTTATCACTCTCTTCTTTGCCTTCTTCCTTTCCTTCTCACCATATTCTTCCCCTCCAAGACTAGAATAGAGAATGAAGAATTTAGTTCTACAAGCCTAGTTCAAGAATTCTAAGGTAAGAAATAAAATCTCCACTTCAAGATCTTTAATTTAAACCTTCAAACATAAGATATGAGCCATTGTAGCCATAGATAGGTTTTAGTGGGGTTTTTAGAAATCAAATATTTTCAACTTGTTTTTACTGGATTTAAGTGTTAGAAAGTGTCCTTAACTTTAATCCAAGTTCCTAAATGAGTTGGTAACTGATTTATCTCATTTTTTATTAGTAAAAGAGGTAGGCGAAAGCTCCAAGCAAGAGGGAAGGACAAATTGACCCTTAGTTGATTTGTGAGAGTTTCTAGCAGCTAGGAAGCTAAGGTAATTCACATGCATAACTCCTTCATACCATTTGTGAGTCTTTGGAATGCATCTAGTTAGAGATTATTATGTTGAAAATCATAAATGAGCTTTCATGGTAGATTATTGTAATTGGTGTTTTTAGCATATTTAAATACCTTTTATGATCATATCTTACATACATAAAACTCTAAGAATGATTTGGGGACCTTAGTAGGGGTTTGGGGTAGTTTTAGGAGTCATTTTCATACCCAAATAGGATATTTGTGGGCTCGAGTATTGGTACATGAATAAGAATACCAATATTGTTTTTCATCTGACTTAAAAAAGGGGTTTTCAGAAGGGAAGCATCGATACTTATCCAAGGAGTATCGATACTGCTGGTCGGGTCTCAATACTCATAGGTTAATATCGATATCGAGTGCACTTAGTCGATTCCTGTAGCCAAATTCGTATTGATACTCATGGGAGTTTCGATACCAAGGGTAAAGTATTGATACTCCTTATAGGAGTATCGATACGATGTATTTTTCAAAACATCAAAGCAAAATTTGGTACCAATACCCTAACAAGTATCAATACCCTAACTCTTGAGTATCGATGCTGGTCTAATAGTATCAATACAAATCATCAATTTTCAGCTTGATTTAACCCTACAGTATCGATACCCAAGATTGATTATCGATACCCTCTTACATCTTTAGCCAAGAAACCTAAGGAATTTAGGAGCAATGTTGCAGGATCCAATAGCATTGAAACACCCTCAAATAAGATTGTAGGTGAGAACCATAATTGATATGCAAATACAGATAGAAACAATATCAACTAGGATGACATAAAACTAGCCTTGTTTGATGCTCGAAGAAAACTGTCAGGACACTCGTGTTACTCTAGCAAATGAGGTTAGTAACGAAGTATATAATGTCTGGATATCTTTAGGTAGTGCGCGAGACACTTTGAGACTAACTGGGGTGCGAGGCCCGAACATTCGCGAGGGATGAGTTAGTTGGGTGTTGTGTCTAATGTAGAGATTTCAGACCTCACTCTAGGTAGACTAGAGGGGCATGAGTCCTGAGATGTGTAACCCTCCGACTATACCATGATGTATACCATAGAGTAGCATGAAGTATACGAGTATACTCACTTCCTTATTGCACCTGATTGCACGAGCATTTAATGAAAACTATTAGTATGGTATAGTTGTTAGTGTGACACTAGGTTAGTGAGCTCAACATTCGAAATTTGTTTCTGTAAACGGGTCGTTATGAGGAGCATTCGAGGAGCCTATCGCTTAGCGGATATTCTAGACTTTTCGAGCAGCAAACTACGTCTTGTGTCTTATTTCGTAGAGGACATGTATTATTCATAGACCCCCATTTTGTACTTGAGTCATAACTTTATTTTAAACACTTGGATGTATTATTTTGAGATATTATTTGTGAGCTCTCGATGTAAACCTTATTTTAAATTATGTTGATTTCCTTTATCCTGAAATGGTATTACTGTTTGATTTACAGTGATTTTAAAGAAATTTTTTGGCTTAACCACTATGATGGTCCTGTGTAGCATTCTAATCGTTCAACTTTGTGTTATCGGATTAGGGTGTTACAAGACATATTCTTAAGTTTCTTTCAATTCAGAATGGAATATAGCTTTTTTTTAGAACCACTCAAATACCTTCGGCAAAAATAATGTGCCATAAATAATATTACTTCTTTGAGCTAGAACTCACATCTGTTCAATTTAACATAAAGTTAATTTTATATAAGAGTACACTTAGACGTTCGTCGTATTCGACCTCATATTTAGACTATGCTAAGATGTTATCGATGAATACCACGATAAAATGATTAAAACATCTATTCATGTCCATAAAGGCAACATGAGAATTCAACAATTCAAAGGGCATTTAATAAAACTTATATGGTATGAGAACTAAACTTATACATGCATGTTAAAACTATGGGTGCTTATCGAGTGAGTCGATCGCGAATTGGGTAGTGCTCGATTCGTTTTCGTTAAAAGAATTTGTTGCTCGATTTGATTCGTTGTTCATTAAATTTTTTTCCGACTCGTGCTTGTTAAAAAAACTGGTTACTCGATTTGTGCTCGTTAAGCTCGTTACTCATCTCGTTGCTCGTTAAGCTCACCAAAATTTTTATCTTATTTTTTTAACTATAGGTGAAATCTACTAATACTATATAAAACTTAATGTAACATAAATTGATAAATTTAACCCCCAAAATTATCAAAAGAGTGAAGGAAACAAATTGAAAATCTAAACTCCAAAATAATAATCCAAAAGTACATTAAAATAATAATTCCGGTTTAATTTTTGGATGTAATAAAATAATAATTATTAATTAATAATTATTTTTTATTATTTATTAGAAAATTAATAGATTAGTCATTTATCATCTATTAGTAGATTAATAATTTTATAATAAAATAATTTTTTAAGATAACTAAAAAAATTATAAAAAAGAATTAACGAGTTGTTTACAAATTTATTAAATCAAGTTTAATTTTACTCGATTCAACTCATTTATCGAGTCAACATAATCAATTTTTTATTAAATTTTAACCGAATAAGTTTCGAACTATTAACGAATTGCTAACTCATGTTGAGACCCTTATTAGAATTTACGGACAGATTTGCGCCCATAGAAAAAGATCGAATGTAATGGGGTCCATAAGCCACTGTCAGATGTAATTGGTTTGCAGGTGCCCAATCTTTTCAGCTGAAAAATTTTCTTTTGCTGACACGTATCTCAACCATCTTCATCTTGTCCCACACTCTTTATTTTGCTTAGCTGCTCCTGGTGGTATAGTTACAATAATACAGACCCAGATCTACCTGTTTTACTGCTCTTCATTGCTCCATATATACCGTTAGCACCTTCACTTCAATAATGCAATGCCTGTAAGCACCTAAATCTCATTATAGAAAAAAATCATTTTCATTTTCTGTGTTTCAATCAAAATTCTGAAACCCAGATTTCGGTTGGACAAATTCATCAAAAGATGTAATTTAGAGTAGTTAAAGTTCAAGTCTTTACAATGTCTAAAATAATGAAGCCACGTAAAAGGGTTCCAATGAAGGTCTGGTTAACTGCTCAAAGATCAATGGGTCTCCTTGTGGGCGGGAATCACACATCATCCAGGTTTTGCACTCGCTAGATTTGCTTCCTTGTTTTGTTTTGTGTTCATTTTCGCCTGCTTTTTCTCAATCAAAGATTGGATCTTTTTGGCTATATATCAAGTTTGAAAGAGTTAAAAGACTATGGATTCTAAAAACTTGAAACTGATGATCTTTCGCGGGTCTTTAGTGAGATGTGTGCTTTTACGTGGCCTAGCGTTTGCTGTTGCACTGTCGATTGTTCCATTACTCCAAATCATATCTGGGGCGGATCCACAAATGTTGTATACCCTTTCTGCCTCTGCAGACTGTGCCCTTGAATCTGGTTCTTCAGCTTCATTTATGTTTCCAGGCACCATGTTCTTCAGCAAAGTATGGGGCTCATTTGGATCCCTTCAATGTAAGGAAGATGGGAACTTGACAACCGGCGTGGTTAGAGCGCTAATGGGAAAGAAACTGTTGAGTTACAGTGCAAAGGCTCTATGTGTTGGTGAAGGCTCAGTATCAGCTGTTATGGCGTTGAGAGACTTGGGATTCTCTACTGTTAATGGGGTTTATAGGCACCCCTTCTTCTCTATCAAGCATAAGAAGTTTGTTTATGAACTTGATTATGAGGACAATTCTTATGATTTGGTGTTATCCAGGGATTCAGATAGGATATCTGTCCCTGCTCTTCTTGTGCTTGAGATTGAACGTGTCCTTAGGCCTGGTGGAATTGGGGCTATACTTATTGGTCTTAGTGGTTCAAACCCTGCTAGCTTGATTAGGTCAGCTACCCCAGTTTCTTCTCTTTTGAAAGCTTCAGTTGTTATTTATGTTGATCATTTCAATGAATTCACATTAGTTGTATTCGAGAAAAAACTCGAAAACATTTCTTACTTCGAGCAATATCATCTCCCTGCTGAATGCCCATCTATGACAAAGAACAAAGCTGTATTGAATCACATAGAGCCTCTCATGGGGAAGAAGCCAATGGAGTTTGAGAAAAGAATTGCTTATTTGCCTAAGTTTGTTAATGTATCTACGAAGCAGTGTTTGATCTATATCGATATCGGAGCCAGTGAGTACATGAACTCCAATGTTACAAGCTGGTTCTTTCCATCTTATCCTCTGGATCACCAAGCCTTCGATTTTTATTTCGTCGATCACAATTCTTCGGTGATGAAATCCTATGTCAAGAGGCCTGGTATCAACTTTTATTTATTACCCGGGCCTTGCTGAAAATCGAATCACATCGAGTTCAATGAATAAGGCTTCCATAGATTCTGATAGGATAGATGATTCAGATCCATTTGTTGAAGATGAAGAGTTTGACTTCCATCTCTGGTTCAAAGATACTGTCCAATATGCAGATTTTGTGGTTCTGAAGATGAATGCAGGTGCAGTGGAGTTGCAACTTATATCAGATTTGTTCAAAAGTGGAATCATATGCTTCATTGATGAGCTTTTTCTTCACTGCTCAGACTCGATCGACAGCGGGGGAGCAGTGAAGGGAGGCTGTATGGGTCTCTTCAAGTCCCTTAGAAGAGCTGGTGTTTATGTGCATCAATGGTGGGGAGATTAGACGGCCCATTTTAAATGTCGGACACTTGTTTAAGTCATTAGTCATATATGTACTGGTCTTGCTTCGCAGGCACCATCGTTGTGGCGTCTAGTTGTTATCATTGTCGGGGTTAGTTTCTGCATCTGGTATGTGCAGAACAACTTATGTTGCAGTTGTGGTTGAGCACTATACTAAAGAAACAACCACTATTATCTCTAGTTTGCTAATGTAAGTTCACGTATCGTTATGTTCTGATCGTTCGATTACTCTCTTTCTCCGATCTATCGATGATGCTAATCTTTGTTACAGGTGAATCAAACCTCTAAATAGAGTTGCACATTGAATTGAACTCATTTTAATACGGCGTGACACTTTTCCAATATAATTTACAAATTCAATGGTATGAAAAGTCATCTTCACATGGCTGAGCTGCTCCTGAAGGATCCAAGAGCTTTAGCAGCCCCTGCTCTGAGGATATACTGGTGATGAATTGCAGCAATGGCAGCTCCAATGACTGGTCTAACCCAGAAAATCCACTGCAAAAAATTCAAACAAAAACATCATTAGAGGTGTCGTATAAAAACAAAGGCGAAATCAGAAACTATCCTCTTTTGGCTAATACTTTCTAGGAATGTAAGATTAATTTTGGAAATAAGATTACTTAATAATATTACCTTGGGAACAATGTATTTTCTTGTTTGATTTATTTAGTAAGAATGTAATATTATAATATTTTGTTGGAAGAATATAATATTATTTGGATAGACATTTTACCAAATTATCCATGTGATATTTTTTTAATAAGTTAAACTTTAATATTAAATTATAAATATTTGAATGAAAATTCATAAAAATATTTTAGTTGTTACAATATCAAATGTTTTAGGAAAAAGACACATTTAACATATAACTAATATAATTAGTATATCAAATTTAAATTTTTAAATAATTTTCGTAAGTATCATATTTATTTATAAAAAATATGATATAATATAAGAAATAGCGTTGTGGTTTGGAGTGGACAAAGATATTGTTTTCAATATATACAATTCATTTTTTAATAACTCAAAGTTAGATATTATTTTAAATAATTATATTTTTTACAATAATATTATTTTTTCACTTGCATAAAATCATAAAATGCTTAATATATTAAAAATGTAGAATAATTTTAACTACTCAAATTTATTAATATCTTACTAAACCAAACTCTTTGCATATTAATAATAATAATAATATTATTATTATTATTATTATTATTATTATTATTATTATTGTGTATATAATTTTGAGTAAAATACAAAGAATAAGAATTGAGAAGGATCCATATTAAAAGAATTCATTATTTTAAGTGTATTCTTGTCCAAAGTGGCAGGAATGATGAAATACCTAAGAATTTAGAGATAATAACATTTCCTCCATTTTAACTAAAAAAACTACTATTAGTAATAAATTATTATTTGATAATGATATTTTCGCGAAATAAAAGTGAGAATACAATTTTGAAAAAATTATTCTCTTGATAATAATATTCTCCGTGAACCAAACTTCCCTAGATATAATGACAAAACATTGTATTTTCTTTGAAGGAACAATTTTAAACTTCTACGGACCTTAAACATAAACTCTAAAAAATGCTAATCTATTTGATGATGAACTTGTTACAAATATAACAATCTAAGACGAAAAGAAAAATAAAATGATATTTTATTAATGAATGAAGAGTATGATTTAAAATAAAAACCCCAAATAAATTTAAAAACTAACAAGTGGGATTATGTATATAAAGCATTCTCATGATTGTTATCCTATTAATGTGATATGTGAAATTTTCATTTTCCTTACACAACACAATTCACAAAGTATCTTACTTTGAACATCAATTTTTTATTCATCATCAACCGTTTTGAATATATGAGATACCCATTGTAAAGATCTTATTAATTAGAATGTGAATTAGTGAATTCATTATTCAAATATCCACTTTTACTCTTAAAAAATGTATCTAAGTTCTCAACTTATCACAACTTTTCCACTAAAACTATCATAAATTAATTTATTAATTCAAATAATTATAAAGAGTCATTTCAATAATGAATAAAACAAGGATAATGTATTTGAATCCTCATTTAATAAATAGATAATCACTATTATACTTCGTTGCAATGGCTATGGAAACCCACAGCTTTCCAAAAAGGAAAAATAAAATACCACTAATGCATTGCTGGATCGTTTTCACACCCAAAGTGAAAAGACACAAATCTAATGCTGGTTTTAGTTCTTCTATTATGTTTTAATTTAAGTCTAATTTATATATTTTAATATAACATAGTTTGATTTTTTATTTTATATCATTATCATTTTTTAAATGAAATTATGCCTCGTTAAAAGTTTCTTTGTAAGTCTACTAGGCCGAGACTCAACAAAACAACGGAAACGAAAAAGAGTACTCAAAACTAATATTAAAATCAGCAAACAAATAACCAATATTCGATAACGTTATGCATCAAAACTACCCTAACATATGCCAAGACCAATCCCTCGAGAGAACCCCCAATCCCATTCAGAAAACGAACAATGCTAAACCCAGCAAACAACCTTTTGATCTAAACCTAAAACTGGGAGTGACTCAAGCTTTAATCAGTGATCTTAACAGGTATTCAACCTCAACATTCGATGATTTCTAAAATCAACATCTGATGAAGCAAATGCCAAATAAATCAACTAAGCATTGCTCCAATCCCACAATTCTCAATTAGAATCTCCCTGCGAAATTTGCAACCACATCCAAGCACTGGAATTAAAGAAAGAGCCATGATTATAGTTCAAGAGGGCAAAGTATAATTAACAATAAAAAATAGAAGGGACAAAATCAAAATAAACCAAAATTTGAAGTTCAAGGAGGGAAAAGTATACTTAACAACAAAATATAAGAGGGACAAAATCAAAATAAACCAAAATTTAAGGACCAAATAAGTAGTTATTGTTATTTTTTTAATGATAAAAAATTAAAGGCAGTGCTGGTTGCGCCGTGTGAGTACTAAAAATTGAACGCAAAATATGTGCAAGTATACACAATCAAGCAAGTATATTAGTAGTGAGTGAATGTCGTCTCCACAGAGATTGGTGGGATTTAAAGTGAAGTTATTGCACAGGGTTGTCACTGAGCAAAATATATATATATATATATAAATATAGTGTTATAGACAAGTGATAAGGAAAATGTTGTGGCAATATTGATCTGTGTAAGGAGTGTGAGTATGGAAATGATGTAGCAAATAACTAAATGAAAAGTTGTGACAAGCAATAAAAGAATGTTGTAGCAAAACAAAATTGAACTTAGGAGAATGAATTAAGTTTTAACAAACTCGCACAATCAAACTTCTATAGGGATAAATGACTGAGTTTGCTATGGCAATTAATATTCTGTATCTAGAACGGTCTAAGTATTCTATTAGTATGCTGCTCAATAGGGTTTGCTAGTAGTGCTCCTAGGATATCTCTAGTAAGGAACCTAATAGAAAAATGCTACGGCAATACCTCTCAACGTGAACTGCAGCACTATCCTATCAATTATGCCCTATGCTTTTTTGTCGATGAAACCCTCTTCCTTATCTCTAAGGTGGATTAGAACCTAACCATCTCGATTTAGTTCCATTGTTCACGTCGATCTAGCCTAACTCTCTCGATATGAAGCATCTATACTTAGAAAATGACTAACTCTCGAAAGCTCTTACAAGTCTAAGCAATTAAAATATAAACAATGAGAAAAACAACATTTAAACATAAAAAAACCATTCAACCTTTCATTAATACAAAATAAAAATCATTCAAGCAAACTCACACCAAATAAGGTTAGTTCATTGCGGGGCTAAGTTCAACCATCATCTTTCATTAAATATAGACCCACTAAAGCACAAGGAGGAAGAAGATTTCCAACGTGAGTTGCTCCATGACTTAGAACCATTTCCTTGAACCACCTTAACAAGCTAGCCTCTCTCAAGGTCCTAGTTGCTACCCCTTTGAAGCTCGATTGTGAAAGACACTACGAAAAAAGAAGATGAAGGAAGAAAAATGGAGAATAAATGAGCTCCTTATTTTGCCTCTTGTTATCTCTCTCTCTTCTTATTTTTTTTCTTATCTTATTTATTTTAAAATAAATAAGAACTTTATAACTCCCAAGAATATTGAGATATAATGGAGAATAAATTACCCATTAACTCACTAACCCCCAAGTAGCTCATAAATTCTCATAAACTCCCTAACTCTCAAGCTCTTCAATTCTCATAAATTCCTTAACTCTTTCTTAATAATGGCATATCCTTATCTTTATCTCTTAATAATAGACTATTCCCTTCACATGTGTGGGTTTGACAGACTGGCAGGTAGGGCTCACATGTAGGCTTGGAAAGCTCGTAGCAAAATATCTTTATATTTTTTGTAATTTTCTGCGCCTAGAAATTCTATCTAGAATGTTTTACATTATTTTCTCTTAATCAACTCCATCATTCCTTCTGATCTTTTTATCTAGAATGCTACAACAAAACTTTACTTCTCCCTTAACTTTCTACGCCTACACAATACCAACAAAACAAGACTCTTCCCTTCAGCAACAACATTTTTAGCAATAAAATTAGGTTACGACAAAACTTTTCCACCACATGCAATTATATTACCTAAATGCTATGAAAATGGATTTTAGATACTCAATAACTGAAGTAAAAAGGAATAAAATATAGCATTTTTATGGAGTTATCAAGTGCCCCTGAACTAATGAATATCTATGTCCCTAACTAAAATGAATAACCTTTCTTTGCCACCAAAAATTCAAAAGATATATCAGTGTATGGGGCTTCACTGCACTCTAACTATAGCCTTCAATCACATGAACTGTCAACACCCAATAGAACGATATTACTACCACACATTATCTCCTCCGCAACCTATAAAGTAAGTACATCTATGTGAGAGTCTAGTCTAGTGAGGTAATTCACTTTGTATCCTCACCATCTTTGCATGAGTTTGTCAGAATTTGTTATTAAGTTGTTAGGGCAGTCTGTTACACCTTAGGTTTCTGGATGAACCACTGTTTGTATAAATAGATAAGTCCAATGACTTGGTTTTATGAGTGGAATTAATAAAATCTTTTGTGTACTTTCTTTATCATATTCTCTCTTTTTCTCTTATTCTTCATGTTTAGGTAGCTGTTACGATATCTTAACATGGTATCATTCTTTGAGTCCTATTGAGTTATGCACTAT